AGTTTCACCAAGGCTGGCTGTGATCAGGAGGAGTTTCAGGTTAAAGCTGCACAGAAAAGCCCAAGTGACAGAGGTGAGGTTTGTGGGTGGGGAGAGAATGCTGAGATGTGCAGGGATCTTTATTTCAGTGAAGGCTCTGCAGCCGCAGCAGGTGTTACTCACCTGTTTGGAGTGAGTCAGCTCCAAGAGACTGGAACCGGTATTTCAGCCCCCTCCTTGCTCAGGGGCTGGCCCTGTGTCACCGTGACAGGCAGGCCCCAGCGGGACATGAAGTGGCCCAGGGGAGCAGGAGCTCGTACCTGCCGGTGGTGGCTGCTGGGTCTCACACCTCAGGGTGCAAACCCTCCCTGCAGGCTCCTCCTATCCCACCTGCCATTCCCTACACAATTCCTGTGGTGTCCGGACGCTGGAGCAAAAGGTATCAGCTTGGCTCTATTTACAGCTCTGCAAATCCTGTCTTTCTAAACTTTTCCTTTCCCCTGCTCAAGCTGTGTCTCCTCCTCCTCCTTTTCCATGTACTTTGCTCTGTGAGGGCTGGGCTCTGGCTGGGACACACTGGCTCTTCCCGTGGCACAGACTGACTGCAATAATATTCCATGTTTTGGCGTGTCCCTCTGGAATGTGGGGGCGGTGGGAGCAGTTGTCCTGCAGCCTCCTCCCATCACCCAAGAATGTGGCTCTGTGGAGCTTGGTGGGGTCCTCAGGGGCTTCAGCAAATGTGTGGGGAGAATTGTTGGTGGAAAAGCCGTGGGGAGAATGCTCTGTGCTGGAGCTGGTCGGTAATTTGGCATCTGTGCTCCAGACTAACCTGGTTAATGGGCACCATGGGTTAATGGCTGGGTGTCAGCCCTGGGTTCTTCCACCTTCACAAGCATCACCCTGGCCCCTCCTCAGCTCAGGCACATGCTGTCAGTCCTGCTGCTCCCAACTCAGCCCCCAAACCAGCAAATAAATTGCCTTTGAAATCTGTGTCCCCCATTCTCTGTCCCTGCAGTGAGGGGATGATAAATTCAATGTCTGAAACAGAATTATCTCACTGGGAGAGGGAAGTGAAGACAGCACATGACAGTGATGGTGAAAACATTTTTAAGTGGTCACAAGGTGCTGTGAGGCAAATGAGGGACATCCAGGTCTACACATAAAGTCTGTGACTTCCTCAGAGTCATCCTGGCAGCTCTTGTGCCAAACCTCTGCTCCTGCACAGGGCTCCCAAGGGGAACAAAGCTTTCACAACTGCTCTGTCCTATGTGGGTGGCTGGAAGTCCCCTTTGCTCTTCCCAGAGGGATGGAGTTTGCCTTGACATCCTTCTAAAATGTCCCAAATGAGGAGGGAGATGCTGTGTATTCCCCACTTCCTTCCCAGGTGCCACCAGCTTTTGTGAGGTGCCCCCAGAGTGCTCAGGAGAGATGTGGGGTCAGGGCTGGAGTTACTGGGGGGGCCCACTAGAAAGAGGGAGGGGGATGACTGACATCCCTCCTGGGTATGGAATCGTTCCCCACAGCACCCAGTGGGTCCCAGGGGGATACTTCACCCCCCAAAGAGGGGAAACAGGGACATCTCTCATTTTGAAACCACCTTTCTGTCTTTTGCCTGGTGTCTGCACTGTCCCCTTTGCCAATGCCTGGCAGGCGCCACTGGCTTCTGCAGAGTCATCAGACCCCGTGCTTAAAAGGAGAAGTGAGGGAGGGACATGTTGAAATAATTTTTTTGACTATTTGTCCATCTCCATCCGAGAGATAAGAGTGTGGCCAGGCTGTGGCTTCAGGATCAAGACAAGAGGTAGGAGATAAACTACTATTAATGTTGCTGGAGGGTTATTTCCTAGCAGCTTTTCCTTTAGGGGGAAGATGATTCCGTATAAAGACAGTGATGATGTTTGTTCTTTGGAGATCTGTTTTCTCAGCACCTATAACCCCATTCACAAGTGAACTGTGAACTTTATTTATACTGGGGACAGGTATAAAGGGTTTTCCTTTAGGATGACTTGTTTTGGAAAGGAATGTAAGGCTGCACTCCACATTGTGCAGATACATGTTGGTTATTTTGGGAGGCAGACTGACAGCGTGGGAAGCAGGGGCTGTTTTGTGGAATGCCAACCCCCTCCCTTTGTAAAGTCCTGCCTTGGATGTCTGGAATGTTTTGCAAGTTGTCTGCCAGTCTGGGGAACTTTATCAGGAGTTTATCAGAGTTTATCAGGATTGTCTCTACTAACCAGAAATCCTCGCTCATTCTGGAGCTCTTCTCTTACTGATTTCTGGACAAGGAGTAATTTGAGGTGCAAATACTGGAGCTCAGTGATTTTTGTCACTGGTATTTTGTGGAACAGGTGGCTGCTGGTAAAACCCAGGGGAAAAAAAGATATTTGCTGCTTTTGAGACCTGATCACCAAAGAGCTCTCCCATGGCACACACAGAGGCTCGGATCCATGTGATCCCTGCACAGATTCCTTCCCAAGGACCGTGCTGGCCTCTGATGGGAGCTGGTTGCTCCCACCCTGCCGGGCTGTGCCTGAGCATTTCCAGTGGACACTGTAGTGGCCAGCTGGGGAACTGCTGGGGAAAGTGCTTTTAAACAGACACTTCCACACTGCAGCTGAACTTTTGCTTTCTAAAGCCTGCACAGCCCCAGCCTAGGCACCAGCTCCTGGCCAGAGGGTCACTGCCTGATGTCTAGCCATAGTTACAAATAAGTTTTATTTCTCCAGTGTTACAAGGAGGAAAGAAGTGGGTTTGAGGATTACTAAACCCTTTCAGCTGTTCTCTCTGTGCTGGTTGAGGCAAGAGACATCCTGACTGCTGTTAATTTTTGTTGGCAAGGAGCAGTGAAAGGTGTGAGCAGCTCAAGGATGCTGAGTCCATGTCCTGCCTTTACCTCTGGAGTTCCTCTTTGCAGAGCCAGATTTTGCTTTTGCAATCAAAGCTAAAAGCAAAGATGCCAGCAATGGTTTCCAAAGGCCATCATGCACTTTTCTCTAGTTCCCACTAACAACATTTTGCAAGGGAGCACAGAGCTGGTGTCCCAGATCAATAAACTGCATTTGTGTGTGTCACGGGACAGGAATCGGCTTCTCCACCACATCCCCTCCATCAGCAAGGGAGGAGATGCTTTTAAGCCATTTGTCCAAGGTGAGCCAATGAAAAAAGGCTGGATAAAGCCAAGGCTGAGGCTGGCAGAGCTGGGTAAGCACCTCTGAGAATTTCTGACAGTTACCAGAGCCCTCCTGACAGGGGAGAGAGCAGAAGTGTAACAAGCAGCTTTTTGCAGACCTCAGAGGACAAGGCTGAAAAACCTCAGGAGTGCATTTCAGCTTTATGGTGTCTCACTGTATCTCTGGATTTTTATTGTGTAGATTATCTTGGCATCCCCCTACTCCTGGAAATTCAGTGTTTTTATGCTGTGCAGCCCCTCTAGGTCCCAGTCCTGTGCTGGCTGTCCTGGATAAAGAAAATCTGCATCCCACATCAACCCCCTGCCTTTGCTCTCGACCCTTTTTCCATCTCCTGGTCCCACAACTTCAGGGAGCCCCTTTTGCCATTATAACCTCCTCTTACAGGGTTCCAGGGCAAAGGGAGGTTGTGTCTCTCTCAAAGCAATTAGAACAGTGCAACCTGCCTCAATTAAAGGACTGGATTGAGTGCGAGGCTGGAAGGGACTGGCTGCCTGCCCTCATCCTCTCACAGAGACGCTGCTGCCAGCATCCTCCTGCAGCCCAGCTTGAAGCCAGCATGCTGTGGGGCTCTGTGCTGATGGACTCTGATTCCTTCACTGGTATTAAGGAGGCAAATTCTCCAGTGCAGTTTCCATGTTCATGGTTTCCTGTTTGGATTCAGCATAAATCCCAGAGTGCCTGCACAGTACCTCTGATCCCACTGTGGAGCCACTGCTGCCTGTGTTACATCTGAAGCATCTTTTTGAATGGCTTTTGGACCATCCAGGGGTCAGGAAGGTGTGGGGGAGACAAAACCTGCCCTTGGGGAGTCACTGCCCTGCTGCAGAGGGCCTGTGGCAGTGACACCAAACCCCAGCAGTGACACTGAGCACGGGCTGATGTCCTTGTCCTTCCCCAGGCTGTGGGTCAGGCTGCTGAGCAGAAAATGCTTGTGCAGCTCGACAGCTCCTCCAAAGCCCAGCCCGCTCTCAGCTGTGCCTGTAGACACAACAGACACCCAGCAGCAAACTGGATCTTCCCCTGGCATCTCCTGATGCCCAGCCAAGCCTTCCCCCACCCAATTTGTTATCAGTGAGAGCATCCTGATAGGGATCTGCGAGGGGAGTGCTGCTCTGTGACAGGCCTGGCAAGCTGCAATCAGATAAAGTGTTTACAAGAATGAAAGCTGATGGTAAAGAACAAGTTTTCAGTGTCATTTCTTTCTGCTTTTTTTTCTTCAGTAATCAGCTCTTTCTGGACAGCCTGTTTGGGAAAAAGGTCACAGGCCCTTTCTCAGTGCTGTTCTTGGCTTTTCATTGCATCTGCTCTCAGCCCAACCTTGTGCAACTCTCTTGGGTGTTGCAAGGACTTCCCCTGCTGCAGCTTTTGCGTGGGGCTTCAAATCCCCTCCATCCCCCGGGGCTGAAGACACTCCCTGCTTTCTGCAGGGTCCCTGCCCCTGCTCTCGGCACCACGGATCCCAAAGACACATCAGAGCCCACATCCTTGGTGTTGTCTCTGCTAATCCTCTCCAGCACCCCCTTCCCCTGCTGGGCTTTGCCTTCTCAGGACTACTTCTCTCCAATTCCTGGCTCATGAGTGATGGCAGGGGCTGGATGTGCCACGTCCCACGTGTGATGCCATGTGTGCCATGCGGTGCCGGTGGCTGTGGGTGCAGGGTTGGGGTGTCTGTGTCCCCGGGGTGCTCTGGCAGGAGCCCTGAGCGCGTTTCCGCTTCTCTGACATGGCCACGCTGTGATAAGGGCTGTGGTTTCCTCCCGTGAGCGAGAGAGGCAGTGGGGGAGAACACAGCTCCCGGCAGAGCTGCAGCCCTGCCCCACACTCAGCCTCCCCCCGAGATGGATCCTGCTGCTGAGAGCCCCCCAGGGACCCTCCCCGGGGAGGAGAGCCCCGAGGTAGGTGGCTTTGAGCTTTTTGGAGGTGTGCTGGCACCAGGCAGGGTCAGGGGGGCTGTGCCCAGGGGACCCCGGGGACAGCGCTGGGTGCCGGGGCTGTAAAAGGGAATGAGAGAAAGGGAACCGAGGCCTGGGGGTGCCCGAGAGATGGGGGTGCCATACCCGTGTAAATGGGCACCCCACGGGCTCAGCTGCAGCTCTGTGCCCCCACTGAGGTCCCCTCTGGGCTCGGCTGTGGTTTCCCAGCACTTCCCAGCCTCTCTGGGCTCTCTGCTGCCGGCAGCTCCCCCAAAACCTGCTCCAGGCCATCCTAAAACAAACAGCTTCCTCTGGGTCCCCACGTCTGTCCCCGAGGGAAGGGACCCACAGCTCTGCCCAGGGCTGCTGGGAGGGCACAGTGCCCCGTGCCCTGGATGATCTGTCCTGGTGCTGGTCCCCACTCGGGGACTTGTCCTCCGTCCCCAGAGCCCCTGTCCCTGCTGCCTCCCCCCGCTGCAGCTGCTGGGGTGGGCTGATGCTGGTGGCTCTATCCAGACCTGGGTTTAAGCAACACTCCTGGATTTGAGCTGAGTTCTTGGCATGAGGATTAGCAGCAGTAAACAGGTCCTGGTGGCTCAGCTCAGCTTTATCTTAACCAGTCCCCTGTGCACATGGGAGCAGCCCCTGTGTCCAGGGCAGAATGGAACGGCAAGGAGCTGCCCCCAAAAGCAGCAGGGATTCCTCCCCCTGCCCTCCTGTGCTACCCCACTGCTGGGCAGGGCACAGATGCTTGTGTCTTGCGATAAACAACAGCAGCAGAGAAATAAAGTCCCTTTTCTGTCCCCTCTGCACTTGCAACCTTGCAATGGGGCAGCGCTGGCTGTGGGGATGCTGAAAGATTTGGGATGGGGCCTTGCCCCCCTTGCCTTGGCACAGGCAGGACAGTGCCAGCAGCAGCAGGAGGTGCCCCTGGGCAGGGGCAGGCTGGGACCCTCCTAAGTGCAACAGGTGCCCCTTTCACAGGGGGCTGCTCAGCCACCAGAGCCCCCAGCAGCCACCAGTGGGTACAAGAAGAGATGTGGAAGGTGGGGGGAGCAGCTCAAGGGTTAAACTCGCCAGGGCTGGAAGGGTTGAATTCAGTCCAGATGGCCGGGGGATTATGCCAGCCCTAGATTTGCCATAAGCAAATGTTAATGTTCAAGCTCGGGGTTGGTTTATTTTTTTCTGTTAGGGGTTCCTAAGGTCAGTTTGGGGCCTGGGCTGACCCACGGGCAGGATTCATCCATCCATCCATCCATCCATCCATCCATCCATCCATCCATCCATCCATCCATCCCTACCAGCCCTGCATGAGCAGGTGCTGGGATCATGCTCTGCAGACTCCCCTCAGCCCAAAAAAGCCCAAACTCATTTTAAAAACTTCTGTTACATGTTTTGGTGTCAGCCCCTTGTGCTCCCAGAGGCTCCAGTGCCAGGACTGCTAACAGATGGCACAGGGACACTGGTCCCCTTCCTCTGGCGGTGTCACTGCTCGGATTCAATTCTTGTTTGGAAGGTCAGTGCTGTTGCTGGCCATCCTTCAAGTGGGGAATGAGCAGTGCACCCTTGCAGCTTTCAGAGATTTGTAGCAGTGCACCAAATCCTGATGGATTTTGGCATCTCCTTGCCCAGCCTGGAGCTCCTCACGGTGCTCTGGCCCCCTGCCCTGTCCCTCAGCTGCTTTGCTCTCCCAGCTGCTGTTGTCACCCTCGCAGCCCCTCCTCAATTAATGGGGCTTGGGGGTGAAGTTCTCTGTGCTGCCCTGCTGGTGGGTGATGGGGGACACTGTCCCTCAGCTGTGGGGTGTCTGTGGGGTGTCACAGTGTCCTTTGGCACATCCCACCCTCGTGCTGTGGGTGATGCTGCCCCATCCTGGCTGCCCTGCCCTGTCTGGCCACGATTTCCTCCTCAAACCACGCTCTTGATGGGAAACCTCTCTTCTCTTCTCTCCCCAGATGGATCTGTCCCACCGGTTCTCCAAGGAAGAGGTACAAGCATGGCCCCACTGTGGTTTCCCTTGGTGGCACTGGAGGGGTGGCAGTGCTGCAGGGCTTTGGGGACGTGGCTCAGCTCCTGGAGCTCCAGGACAGCCAGTGGTGGTGGGCAGGGCTGGGTGCAGGGGGTGGCAGGGCCCAGCATGGGGCTGGGGGAGCTGTGAGGAGGAAATCCTGCTGATCCTGGGGGGTGCACAGAGCATGTCCCTGCTGGCTGTCCCCACATGAGGTGTCAGCACTGTCTCCCCACAGCTGGCCCTGCTCTACCAGGAGGTTCTCTACACCATCCTGCACCGCCTGGGCAAGCCCAAGCAGCAGCACGTCGGGGATTCCCAGGAGCTCTACTCCTATGTGCAGAAGGTGTGTCCCCCCAACAGGGTCCCCAAAACCTGTCCCCTGACATGTCCATCCTCCCACCTACAGGGGATGGTAAGGATTTGTTATGCCCCAGACTCACACAGTGAGTTTTTACAGGGGCTTTGATTTACTCTGGTGGTTCACAGGAGACCACAAAATCCTCAGGAGGCTGAATAACAAACTTTTACTTGCAAACTGGAGAATATTTCTGTTGAATATGGTTGGGCTTTCCATGTGTTAGGGGCTTGGACTGGACCAGGGGCCAGGATGTGGAAATGCCCCATCCCACCTATGCAGAACTTGTCCTGACCCCCACCACACACAATTTCTCTCTGCTCATTTGGAGCCAATAATCTTCCCTCTGGCCCCCTACAGGGTCATGCAGAGGAAGCTTTTAACAAACACCATGAAAGATGTAGCAGCAGCATCCAGCCAGAGGGCTGGGAGCATCCTGTGGCTGGGAGATACTAGCCCTGGGGAGAAGTTTATCTTGGGGATGGTGGGAAGAAGGCTTTCCCTCTCTCCCTCAAGAGATTTCAGCTGGTCCCCACCCTTCCTGCTGGACTCTGCCACTTTCCTCTCCCCTTGGGCTGGTCCCAGGGAGCAGAGGGAAGCCCCTGGCTGCTCTCCAGCCCCTGTTAACAGGGCAGCATCCATCACCAGCCCCAATATCCACACAGGCTTTTGGCATGGACGCGGAGGAGCACAGTGCGATCATGCAGCAGGTCATGGAGCTGGAGGTACAGTGTGCAGTGTGCAGCTGGGCTGGTGCTGGGGGGCTGCAGTGCCTCTGAGCCCCTGTGACTGGGATTTGGGGTGCTCTGGCATTGTCACTGCTTGGGTGGGAGCTGATGGCAAGGTCCTGCTCCGACCCCATCCTTTCTTGCAGGGTTGAGCCTTCCTCACAGGGTTGGTGACCCCACACATTAATAGCTGTTTTTTCATTTTCCCAGAGCCCCATTTACTGCCTGAAAGCCACTGTGAAGGAAGCCAAGGGAATTTTGGGTAAAGATGTCAGTGGTAAGTGGAGATGTGTGGGTGTCCCGTGGGAAGAGGGGCAGCTGCTGCTCCCGAGTGGAATTCCCACACCTTCACCCTCACAGGGCTCAGTGACCCATACTGCCTGCTGGGCATCCAGGCCAGGGGCCAGGAACCAGCCCACCCTGACCACAAGAAGAGAACAAAGGCTGTGGTGAAAGACCTCATCCCCGAAGACCAAATCCATCGCACCCAAGTGATAAAACAGACCCTCAGCCCAGTGTGGAACGAGACCTTCATCCTGTAATCCCCCACCCCACCCCTTGGCTCTGCCCTCTGGGGGGATGCAGGGCATGGCCAGGGCTCTCAGCTGTGGATGGGGGTTCACCACTCGAATGTTTCTCGAGTAACAAAATGCCCTGGTGCCTTGCAGGGAGTTTAAAGATGTGGAGACAGCCAGCTTCCACCTGGACATGTGGTGAGTGACCCTCACCCTGCCCCCAGGGTGTCCTGCCTCCTGGGATTCAATCTGCAGCTTTTTTAAAGGCCAGAAGCCAGCTGGGAACCCCTTTGCCCATCACTTTGTGTGGAGCAGTGCAGGATGTGACCTGTGCCAGCAGAGAAATCCCAGGCTGGCTGTGCCCAGGCAGGCCTGGTCTTAAACCCTGGTTTCATTTATGGAGAGAAGCCACATGCTGGCAGATTTGGGCTGGGTTTGGGGGTGGCCTCAGTCCTGCCACTTCCCTGTTCCTGTACTTTCCCTTCTCCACCGTCATTGCAACTCTCTGCTCTGTTTTTCCACCGCCTGGATTTCCCCCTTTCCCCGCGGTGGGCTTTGTGCAGGGACTCGGACGTGGTGGAGTCGATGCGGCACAAGCTGGGGGAGCTGACGGACCTCCACGGCCTCAAAAGGTTGGTGCTGCTGTGGCCCCAAGGCTGCTCAGGAAATCTGAGCTAGAAAATGCTTATTTGCCTGCTGGATTTTAAAAATCACCTTTGGATGGAGGAAGGGAGTGCGGCAGGTCTGTGTCACCCTGCTCCACGCCGAGCACGGCCGGGTCACGGCTGCAGGACACCTTCCCACCCCCTTTCGTCTGTTCCTTTCAGGATCTTTAAAGATGCTCGCAAAGACAAGGGGCAGGACGATTTCCTGGGGAACGTGGTGGTTCGGCTGAAGGTGAGCGCCGGGTGCCTGCTCTCCTCCAGGGCAGCGGCCAGGTTAAACCTCCCGGCAGCCGGGCAGGATCCCTTCCCTGCGGCAGCACAACACCTCCAGAGCCACAAACTGACCTCAGCTCCCTCCCTGTGCCGCAGTCACCCCACCACAGTCACTGCACAGCCTGTGCTTTTAACCCTACACAGAATCTCCCTGCCCCATTAACGCAGCGGGATGAAGATCCCCTGGTCTCTGAACGAGATCCTTCTCCTGGGGAGGCTGCCCGGGGCTGCCCCTTTGTCCCTGTGTGCCTGCAGGACCTGCACTGCTGGAATGACCAGTGGTACCAGCTGGAGCCACGGACAGAGACCTACCCCGAGCGGGGGCACTGCCACCTGCAGTTCCTACTCACGCACAAGAAGGTGGGATGGGATGTGGAAAGGGCTCCTTTCCCATTGCCTGGGCAGGATGGGACAGCTGCCTGTCCCTTGGGGCTCGTCTGGGGCTCACAGGTGCCAGCACCAGGGTCTGCAGGTGCTGACCCTCCCCTGAGTTCTGTGCCAGCACCAGGACCCTGCTCCTGGGGCACCTGCAACCCTTGGCTCTCCAGCCCCTCTTTTTGGGTGCTGTGTCCTCACTGTGAGAGCGTCCCTGTGTGTCCAGGCAGGTGATGGCTCTCTCTGCCTTGTCTCTTTCCAGAGGGCCACCACGAGCAGCCGGACACAGCCGAGCTACACCGTCCACCGCCACCTCCTGCAGCAGCTGGTGTCCCACGAGATCCTCCAGCACCAGGTACCACCAGCACCAGGAGCAGCCCTCCAGCAGCTGGGCTGGGGGAGGGCTCCTTTGCAGCCCACACCCCGACACGCTGTGTGATGGGAATGAGGGTCAGGATGACGCCTGGCATCCTTCCAGGGCTCCCACTCCTGCACATACGCCCCCTCCCCGCCGTGGTGCCTGTCCTCATTCTCCCTGTCTTGCTCCAGGACACATTGCCCCTCCCTTTTCCTCCTGGCAGGCCGGCAGCACCTCCTGGGATGGGGAGCTGAGCAGCCACGCCAGCACCGTGCTGTACCTGCACGCCACACAGAAGGACCTCTCTGACTTCCACCAGGACATGGCGTGAGTGCCCCGCACCCAGAGCGCCCCGGTGCAGCGCTCAGGGCCTTCCTGGGACCCTCTGCCACAGCTGGTCTGTCCCATGAGCTCAGGTGTTGTCCCCAGGACACCTGGGTGCCACCCCTGTGACCCCAGCTGTGACTGTGGCTGGCTCCTGGGTGCCCCCAGCCCCCGGGGGCTCAGCCCAGCCCTTCCTCCTCCCCAGGCAGTGGCTGGCCTACAGCAAACTCTACCAGAGCCTGGAGTTCAACAGCAGCTGCCTCCTCCACCAGATCACCAGCATCGAGTACCGGTGGGTGCAGGAGCGCCTGAGGCCAGAGCAGGTGAGGAGGCTCCAGCACCGCTGTGGGGCAGAGATCAGGGAAAGGTGTCCCAGGCACCCAGCCCAGAGCCTCTCCTCCTAGGAGCCCCTGGGAACCCTCCTGTGTTCCAAGAAGGGCAGGAGATTGTGGGGTACAGGGGTGCCAGGGTGTTGGAGGCATTTCCCAGTGCTTTGTTCCCCCCTCTGTGGAGAACCCCTTACCCTTTGCACAGACATCCCCTCCCCCACCTCTGATCACAACCCCCTGCAAAACTTAAATATGACCCAATTTCTGCTTCTCACAGCCTTTTCAGCTTTTCCCAGAGCATCCCTGCACCCTGCTGAGACACTGAATTTTCCATGCATAGCAATGAGGTTTAAGCACAAAGCTCAGTTCAGTCCCTCCAGGGAGAAGCTACCAGAGACATCAGGGGGGTTTTTCCCATCCCTGGAGCAGGCTGGAAGGGAATGGGAGCACCAGGTGCCATGGTCCAGCCAGCATCTGCCTGTCACTGAGGAGGACAGTGCATGTTTCCTTTCTTCTCCCCAGAAAGCAGAGCTGGCCGAGTCCTTCCAGTCCTTGCTGACCTACGGGGTCTCCCTCATCCGTAGGTTCCGCATCATTTTCCCCCTCTCTGTCCCGAGGTCCAAGGAGAGGCTCCAGTCCCTGCTCCGGTGAGTTGGTCACTGCTGCCAGCTGCACGTGGGGTCCCGTGGCTTGGCCACTGTGATGGACAAGCCCCTGAGCTTGAGCAAGACTCAGTGTGAGCCCTTTGTCCCCCATCTGGGCTGCTGTGACACTCATCCTGTCCCGTCCCTCATCCTGGGCTCCCTGTGGCGGTTGTTGCTGGAGGGGAACGCTGTTTGGGCAGGGTCTGTGAGGGAAGGGGTGTTTGTTTCTCATGGCAGGTGCTGGGTTTCACTTGAGGTTCTCACTTTGCAGGGTCCTTGTCCAGATGTGCAAAACAAAAGCTTTCCATGAGCTGTGCACACCCAGCCCTGACCTCACCCAGATGGTCTCAACAGCTCTGAAGGTACTGGGGGTCTCACCCACCCCAGTCCCTGCAAGGTGGGACCCTGTGGCTCTCCCTTTCCTTCCATCCCAGCCCAACACCTCAACAAATCCACGTGGATCACCCTGGCATGGGAAATACCCACTCCTCTTCAACCTGGTGGTCCCTGCCTGTGGTTCCCGCCTCACCCAGGGAACAGGGAGAGTGAAGGGGGTGACAGAGCTGGCTTTGCTCCTCCTGCTTCCCTGCCATCCCACCAGGACTCCTCTCTTGCAGTCAGGCACAGCAGAATGGTTTCACATGCAGAAGCAGCACCTCAAGCCCATGGTGAAGGTCAGTTCCCATCTCTGTCCCTCTGACATGATAAAGTCACCTCAAAATGTCTGAGCATCCAAAACAAGCTGTTCTTTCCTTTGCAGAGCATAGAGGAGAATAGCAAAGCTTTGTCCAAGCTCCTCCAGGAGGTGATAGAAGACCTCAAGCAGTGCCAAAAGATCTGGAATAAACTGTTCAGCACGTAGGTTTCAATGCTCGATCTCACCCCCATCCATCTTCCCTGGGATAAGGAGTGACAGGGCATTTTGATGCCTCATTCCATGGCCCTTGGGCTGCACAGATGGGATCTTTGGTCCCATCTCTGCCCCTTGCAGCTGTGCTGTCCTCACCCAGGACACAGCCTGGCAGGCTTTGCTGGGCAGGCTTTGCTGGGCTGGGGTTGGCAGGCTCCTGACTCTGCATTTTTCTCTTGCAGCAACCTGAAGCTGAATATTTTCTCCATTGCCTACCTGGAGCTGGAGAGCCTGGTGAGCAAGCCTGGGCTGCTCTGCCCTCAGGGGACTAAGGCCTAAAGCCAGGCTGAGGTTTTTGGCCACCCTTCAGGTGGCACCTGCTTGTTGCAAGGCTGGAAGGGGAGCGAGAGAAACTCGCCCTCTCTCCCTGTGTGCCCATAGAGTGACTTTGGGGACTATTTGACCCAACAAATCTCCTCAAATGCCACCCAAAAGGAAGAGGAGTCCCCTGAGCTGACCTTGCTCCAGAAGGAGCCTTCCTGGCCAGACCTCAGTGTGTGTCCCCTGCCCTTGCTCCCATCCAGGTCGCGGAGCACGTCCAGCAGCAGCTGCACGAGGTTGACAGCAGCATGTCCAGACCCACAGCTGAGAGCCTCTTCGATCTCTACAGGAAACTGCAGGAGCTCTGTCAGATGAGGGACTCCCTCCCAAACAGGTATGAGAACTCTCTCCTCCTGAGAGAGGAGAGCTGCCAGAGGGAGGGATCGCGCAGTTAACTGAGAGGATCTCTGGATCCTTCCCACTCACCTACATCACTAATTGCACACCAGGCAGAGCAGGCTGTTGGTGTCTGGTGTCAGTGGGAGCATCACCAGGAGGGTTTTGGGCTCATCTCTGGGTGGGATTGGTGTGAGAGCAGGAGGGGTGGTGGTCCTGTGCCGCTGCTGTGCGGTTGGAGAAGCCAGCACATCATCCATAGGGATGATGCCTTCATCCACAGGGATGGACCTCTGGCTCTGAGCAATTTCCACCAGTGGTTCGAGGAAGCATTACCCCTGTGGCTGCAGAAGGCCTACACCACCACACTGGAGAGGGCTCAGAGAGCCATCCAGATGGACCAGGTAACGTGGGAAGGAGAAATCTCCCTCCTCCCTTTGGGACGCTCCAGCTGTCCTCCATGGCTTGCTGCTGTGCCTGGCTCACAGCACTGAGATCACCACATAGGTGCCACTGGCAGCCCAGGAGCAGCCTGGTTCCTCTCCCAAAAGCATAAAAATATCTGGTTCCCTGGGCCAGGTGATCCCACCCACCCTGGCCCCACACAGTGTCCCTGTGTCCCTGGCAGCCTGTGATCTGAGCACCCTGCATTTGGGCTATGCTGTGAGAATCCCCTTTGCTTCCAGCCTCCCTGAAGAGGGGAGGAAAGGCAGCCATGGGGCCTCAGGCTGCCCTTCAGTGGGGTCCAGCAGCACTGGGTGGGTGTATGGAGGGAAGCAGGGAGCTCGTGCTGCTCCATCCATCCTCATCGCCACTCTCCAAAGTGGTTTTGTGATGACATTGGGATCCAAGGAGCTGATGATGGGCCAGAGAGCCCCAAAGAGAAGGAGCAGCTCTGCTCTCTGGGATGGCATCTCTCTGTACGAGCTGTGTTTGCCTTCTCTGCCCCTCAGCTGAAGCCTTACGGGTATCACAAGCACAGCACATCCACCGTTGACCTGTCCACCTGCTACGCCCAGATCGTGACAACCTGGCAGCAGCTCAACTGGCCAGACCCTGAGAAAGCCTTCATGATCATGGTCAATCTCCTGGAGGTTTGTACACCTGGGCACCAGTATACCTGGATTTTCCTTCTCCTGCTCTTGAGGACGTGTCTCCATGAAGGAGCCGGTGCCCCACGGTGATGTGGGTCCCTGAGCCCACGGTGGTCCCCGTGATGCCTGGTTCAGTTCTGTTTGTTTCCTCTCTGTCCTGCAGGACATGTGCAAGATCTCCCTGATGTACTGCAAGCTCATCAAGGAGAGGGCTGAGGCTCTGTCGCTGAGCGAGCAGAACGAGGGCGAGGCGGCCAACAAGGTTGGTACTGGAACTTGTCCTGGTTGCTCCAGGAAGGGCAGGATTTGGCCCTGGTTTCTGGACAAAGAGGCAGCTGAGCTGTTGAGAACCCAGCTGACATCCCCAGTTTGGGTTCCACAGGGACCAGCTGGCCATCAAAGGCCATAATCTGGGAAAATCAGGAGGGAAATGATGTGAGCAGGGGGAGCAGGATGGGGATGGGGACACAGGTGAGGATGAAAATGAGAATGGAGATGGTGATGGGACTAGGGATGAGGATGGGGATGGAGATGGGAATAATGATGGGGATGGGGATGTGGGATGCTCCAGGGAGTGTAGACCCTGGAGTAGACCCACCTCTCCCAGCTCTGCATCGTGGTGAACAACATTGAGCAGCTGCGGCTGCTGATGCTGAAGCTGCCGTCGCAGCTGGACTGGGCCCAGCTGGAGCAGCGCATGAGGGGCATCATCGACCCACAGCAGATCCAGAACGCTCTGCACAACCAACTCCACAGCACCGTGGCCTGCCTGGACCACGAGGTCCAGGACGTGGTGCAAGCTCTGGCTACCAAGGTGACCACCTGCCACTGATGGCCCCTTGGCCCTCACCCAGCCCGGAGCAGTCTCACCCAAGGTGTCCTGAAGCCCATAATGCTCCTGGGATGGAGACAAGGTGGAACTGGGCATGGGGAGGCTGGTGCAGAGGGCAAAGTCCAAGTCTCTTCCTGCATTTCTCCCTGGCAGCTGGAAAAGGGCATTGCCAGGCACATCCAGGAGCTCTCATCTTCCAGTGACACCCAGAAACCTGAGGATGTAAGTATCTGGTCCAGCCCCTCCTGGACCATCTTTTTTGGACAGCTATGGATAGCCTTTGCTTGCTTGGTGGGTGTCTCTGTCACCCTCCATCCCTGCTCCCTGCCCATGCCTGGGGGACAGGACACACCAGTGATGGGGCCCAGACCTCCACAGCCTGCACTTGATGCCCATGTCAGCAGCAGGACCTCAGCAGTCACAGCCTGCCTGTGTTCTGTGGGAAGGAGCCCCTCTGGGATCCTCCCTGGCCTGCTGTGTCCTGCTGGATACGCCCCCCCTGCGCTCCCCAATGCCCCTCTCCTCTCACTGCAGTCCATCATCCCACTCATGAAGTTCCTGGAGTCGGAGCTGCAGTACCTCAACGAGCACCTGGTCCAGGAGAACTTCAAAAGGTGACCAGGGCACTTGGGATGCACTGTGGCAGAGGCCACCAGTGTCACCATCTCTTGGGCAGGAGCATCCCCTCAGCTCCATGGGGCTTGGGACCATCCCACTTTGGGGCTGGCAGGATGAGGCACTTCCTTCTGGGGCTTTGCAAAGCCCTTCAGCTGGAGACCATCCCTGAGCCCAGCCCCTGGATCCTGCTCACAACCTCCCTCTCCCCTGCAGCCTCCTCACTCTCCTGTGGCAGCACACCCTGTCCGTGCTCTCAGCAGCACAGGGGCCGCAGGTGCCCTCGTTCCAGCACTGCCAGAGGCTGTTCTGTGCCCTGAAGGTACCAAGGGGAAGCAGAGGGACAAGGCAAGGCAAGGACAGGGGTTTGGTTGGTGGCTGACAGCATCCTTGTCCCCAGAGCCTGGAGCTGTGCTTCCATGCCGAGGGCTGTGGGCTGCCGCTGGAGACCCTCCACAGTGCAGCCTTCCAGGTATGGAGATGGGGATGGGAGTCCCTGTGGGTTGCTTTGGGAGGAAAGGATGCCAGGGATCCCCGGGCTGTGGACCTGTCCGTGTGCTTGAGCATCACCTCACACCCTCCCACAGAGGCTGGAGTCTCACCTGGCTCTCTGCTCCGCCACCAGCCGCAAACTCATCCAGAAATACTTCAGCAACAGGATCCAGCAGCAGGTAGGAGTCTGGATGGTGCCCCCAGCCCCCTCCCACATCCCACCCTTGCCCACAGGCCCTGCCTGTGGAAATGTGGAATTTCCCCACCACCCTCCCAGTCCTGGGGCTGTTGGGGCAGGGTTTGCACAGTGTTGAACAGGAGGGGGCTCAATTCATGCCAGAGGATTCCAGCACACCCTGGTACCCCAAAATTCCTGCTGAGCCTCTGCCAGACCTTGTGCATCCCCTCCATGATGGGGATGAAGGACAGCACCTTTATCCTTGTACCCCACTGCCCAGCTGGACACCAGCTCCGAGAAGTACGGGGCTGTGACCATCAAAGCTCTGTACCGGCCTTCGGAGCAGAAACTCCGTGTGGAAGTGCTCAACGCCACCAACCTCATCCCGCTGGACTCTGACGGTGGGTGTGTGCGGGCAGGGGAGACACTCTGCACCACGGCCCCTGTCCCTGCTCCCCGTATGCCCCAGTCAGGAGAGATGCTGGCAACGCTTGGACTCTCTCTTGATTTGCTTTTTTGTCCAAGGAGGTGGATTTGGGGGAAAAGAGGGGTTATTGCAGTGGTTCTGGGTGCTGCGGTGGGATGTGGCAGGCAGGACTATGCAGGACACAGTGCCCACATCCCACTGTTTGTGGCACAAGCCAGCAGCCAGGGCAGGCGGCTTTTCTTCATCGTGCAAACCAGCCGCAGATAAAAGAACACTCCGGGGGTGAGCAGCGACCTTCTGCCGGTCCGGCTGTCGTTCGGGGAGCTCTCCAGGAGAGGTCACTCCTCCTGCAGCCACCCCTGGCCGATCGCTGTGCGGGCAGGGCTAGGGACGTTCCCGCAGCCTCCAGGAGCCCGGGGTTGCGGTGAGGATGCCCTGACCCCCCCCTGCAGCCACCCCGGTGTGTCCAAGCCCCCCCGGTTGGGTTCATCCGTGCAGAGGGGCCAGGGGAGGGGGCTGATGTCTGCACCCCACCAGGCTCCAGCGACCCCTTCGTGCAGCTCACCCTGGAGCCCCGGCACGAGTTCCCCGAGGTGGTGGCCCGGACCACCCAGTGCAAGAGGAACGAGCTGCACCCCCTCTTCGACGAAGCTTTCGACTTGTACGTAGGGGCTGACACCCTCCGGGCCCCCCCCACTCCCCGCAGCCCCTCAGGCTTCAGCAGAGCCGCTGCCATGGGGCTGCTGCTCCAGGAACTGGCTCTGCCCAGAGATTTCAGCCCCTGCACCCCAGCGGGGTCCCCCAGACAGCCGGGCTGGTTCGGGGCTGTGCTGGGGCCCCGGGGGGTTCGGGTCAGTGGGGGGCTGTGCATTCCCATGGGGCACGGCAGGCTGGCACCGAGGGACCGAGGGGACGGGGTGCGATTGATGATCCCCTGGTGCCCCTGCAGCTTGATCCCCTCCGAGAAGTGCCGGCAGGAGGGGGCCTGTCTGCTGCTGACCGTCTTTGACTACGATGTGCTGGGGGCCAACGACCTGGAGGGCGAAGCCTTCTTCCCCCTGTGCCACCTGCCGGGCCTCGACAGCGAGGAGGACGAGGCTGACATGGGACGGGTGCCCCAGAGCCGGCTCCCCCTCACCCACCCCAAGCCCACGGGTACGTGGTGCCACAGCTGGGCCGAGCCCCTGCAGAGCGGGGAAGGGGCTGTGGGGAGCAGCTCCCACCATTACCGCCCTCTTCTCTGGCAGATGAGATCCTGCAGCTGCTGGAGTCCAGGAAAAGGGACAAAGAAGCTCAGGCCTTCGTTAAGCTCCGCAAGCAGCGAGCCAAGCAGTCCAAGGAGACAGAGTGAGGGAGGGGCAGGAAGATGGCCTGGAAGGAGGGGTCCGGCCAGCGAGACCCCGGCACTTCTGTGGTGCTGGGACCAGAACCATCTGCAGGGAGTGTGGGGACAGAGGGGTCCCTGTGCCTGACCCAACTCACCCCCACCTTTGGCAGCAACGCTCCCATGAGCCAGGGAGGGTGGGCAGGTGGATTCCGGGGCATTTCTTTGCCTGCCTGGACTAGTAACACTACACGAGGGATGTGAAAGTGTGGCTGTCCCTTTCTGTCCCTCTGGAGCTCGTGACTGCCAGTGCTGCATCTCCTGGCCGTGTCCCCAACCCTCCTGTCTGCAACATGACTGACTCAAGCTGGGGACAGCCATGGCCAAACCTGCCTTCATTTTTTTTAAATTTTTTTTTTAATTTTTAAAATTTCTTTTCCCCCCTCATTTTCTTGTGGATAAGCCTCTTATTTTAAATGAAAAGCCACAAAGCTGATGCGTGGGCTGTGTGCTTTGGGGCAGTGGCCCTGTGCTGGGAGCAGCACAATGGGGTGGGACAAGGCATTTGAGATCTGGCGGGAGCTGATGAATTTCTCCTTTTTTAAAATATGCATAGCTGTTGTGTCTGTTTGGTTTTGGTTTTTTTTTTTTTTTTAATTTTACCACCAATTTTACCTCCTGGAAGCCTGGGATCTTGCAGCAATCAAGAGCATCACAGCCCTGGCAGCCAAACCAGGAGGTATTTTGGGCAGCTGACAGTCCAGGCATGGGGTGCAGGTCCCTGGCATCACTCCCAGCCTGTGCCAGGGACCTGGGTCCCTCTGGAATTGGTGGGAAGCCCTGCAGGGTGCATCCACGTGGGTGACCCAGTATGACAGCAAAAATGCAATGCAGGTTGTTGTAACAATTTTGTGGGTTTTTTGGAGCTTGTTTTTGCTGCAATTAGTACTAATTATACACCTGGAGCTCCCTCTACCCCCACCCTGCAGGGAGATGGCCGTGTTTGAGCTGCAGCAGGTCCCTGGGAGCTGCCAGGGACCAGGGAATTAAAAGCATCCCCCTCCCGGGTGCCTGAGCACCAGCTGCTCCCTCGGTGGGCAGAGCAGCCGCTGGGTCAGCTCAGGTCAAATCCTGGATGCGGGGGTGGGAAAAGAAAAAAGCTCCTTTGGTATCTGTGTGACAGAGCCCACAGCAGGAGGGATTAAGGCGCTTCGGGCTCTCAAGGAAGCCATTTGCTGGCTTAGGTTGCAGTGCAGAGAAATAATATTCCAGAGCTGGGTCTGGGAGTGTGGGGATACTGTGGTGGGTGTCATTTCAGCTGGCTCCAGCACCCTGCAGCTCATCTGGAGCTGGCAGCTCCCACTTCATTACAAGGTTTACTACACGAGGCTGAAGGTTTGAATATGGTCTCAGCTCATTTTTAGCTGTTTTTATAAAAATCACTGTGTCCCACCTTGCCCTGGGCTGGCACCAGCAGGCGTGTCCCAGGGAGCAGGTGGCACAGGCTGACCTCTCATTTGAGATTGCTTGCACTGTATTATTCAAGGTGTTTTAGCTTCATTTTTGCTCAGTTCCAGGCACCTGTGTGTGTCTTCTCCCACCCTAAAAGAAATCCCACCTTTTACAGAGAAAGACTAATAAACCTTAATCAGTCAGAGCACAGCTAGCGCCATGGAGGTGGAGAACAGCCCAAGCATTAAAAAATAAGGCTTGAAGCACACAAAACCAGCTCCTAGCAAATGCAAGAATGATGAGAGGAAGAAATCTCCATCATCATCCTCCTAATCCTGGTCAAGGACCCGACACAGGCAGATGGCCAGAACACAAGAGGGAAGGGGCTGGCACTTAGATCTACTGATTTTATTGTGTTACCAATAATCTGCAATACAAATGGGCCCATTCAGATTTTTGTTGTGATGGGACTAATGGGAAGTGGTCGATACATCTTTGAAGCATTAATTAGACCAAAATTAACAGGTAATTTTTGGATCCACAGGCTGGGTGTGTTCTTTTGGGTGCCAACACACAAAACACTGTGCAGGCACAGCTCACCTCTGCCCAGCCTGGCTCTTCCAGGACATAAATCCATGTCCAGACCAAGAATTTGGATGAGAAATGTTTTGATTTGCCACCTCCAAAGGGGTCTCTGCCCCACCTTAACCACATTGCATAACCCTCTTTACTATGCCTCCATCAGGAAAGTGAATTGCAACACCCCGAAAACAGAGGGGAGCTCAGAGCGAAATTACTCTTGGTTGTGTGAAAATTTGCCACAGATCTGTTGTTTTGAAGGCTCCAAAGCCCAGATTTCTCCACCCTCCCAAGGCCCAGAGCAGAGCCTGGGGCTGCACATCCACCCGGGCACGCATGCGCACACACACACGCACACACCGCTTCAGTTTGTAGTTTTTTTCTTAGCAAAAAAATAAAAATTTATTGTCCTCTAAAAAAAAAAAAAGAAAAAAAAAGAAAAAAAAAATCCATCCTGCCCTTGGAAACTGTGACACAGATTGAGTTCTTTCCAGCCCCACATGCAAATTCACTCTGCCAAGAAAAGAGTCTAAACCAGGTTTCCGACAGCCAAAACACATATTTACAGAGTACGAGAGAACGACAGCTGAAATCACAGTTCTATACATGGAATCAACAACACGTTTTACACCACTGATCACCATTCTGCCAACTTCTACACGGACTAGGGGCGCCTCTGCCCAGTGCCCTTCCTCCTGGGGAAAGCAGGGAAGGGACTGGGCAAGAATTGCCACCAGAAATACTGCAGTGTGTATTATTATTATTTTTTTAAAACGTATACTGTATTTATTTTGTTTTAACATTGGAAGCTACGGAGTGGGGAAGCCCCAGAAATCTCTCCAATGCAGTCACTACTTTGCAGGAATACTTCACCTTTAAAATACTAGATTTTACATCAGTAACATCTATTTTGCTGTTGGCCATCACTCCAAGGATTATAACTCTGGAGGAAAACACTGGTAATATTCTTCCTTCTCAGATAGGGGAAAAGGAGGAAGAGAGGAGGTTCGGAGACTGGTGGAACAGCAAGGGGTGACTGAGTCCATTCGGTGTTATGGGCTTCCTCCCAGGGTAAGGAATTCTCTTCATTGTCTCAGCTGCACAAGCCTTGCCAGTGGCTCAGGTTCAGCTTCAGAGATGAACAAAAGTGTAAAACCCTTCTGCAGGGGATCAGCTGCAGGGACCCCCCAGGGGAGGGATCTGCTTTAGGAAATGTGCTCCAGCTCTGAGAGCCTTGCCGGGTCCCTCCCGTGCCACAGCAGGCACGTGGCTGTGGCACCTAAGGCTGGAGAGGAGCTCAAAGTGGTCCTGTTAGCCCAAAATGCCAACATCCTTCAGCTCCTGGCTCTCACCTACAGCTCCAACCCTGCTTGTTGCTCTGGATCTACCCAGGCTCCTGTTGTCCCAAGCCACCTGCTTTGGGTCGGTTTTCCGTAATAATGTACAAGTTTATTGACCTTTAGGATGCTGTGGTTTCACAACACAACCACAACTCCCTTCCCCCAGCTCTCAGAAGGGTCTGACCTGCCCAATTCATCACCCAGGTCAGCTCTTCTGAGACTCCCAAAAATTTGGGGAGGAAAATGTCATTATCCAAGGACTCTGTGTGAGGGGGCAGGACCCAGATGTGGTCAGGGCTGTTCAGCTGGGCTGCTCCCCCAGGAACCCTGTGTGGAGCCCACTTTTGTTTGTTTGAAGCCCCCTCAGCTCTGCTGTGTTACTGTGTGTCCTGTAAAGGGAGTTCCCACTTCAGAAGGAAGCCTGACAGTACGTGACAGGGGCTGCACTTACTAGCACCAGGTTTATTTCAGCTCTTTTTACACCACACAAAAGCTGATCACAGACTCTCAAGCCTCAACTGCAGTGCTGTGATTATGGTTTGTCCTTACTGCACGGAGCAGGCAGCAACAACTGCTGGAGTGGGTCAGGAATGCTGCTCCTTCCCCCTGCTCCCACCTCATTTGGTTCAGAAATTGTCTTTAAATGGCCCACCAGAACATTCACAAAATATGCAAAGATGAAGTTCTCTTTTCCATCTGATGCTTAAGAAAATAAATTCACATTTCAATATTCCTCTCCTTTTTTTTTTTTTTAAAGCAGCAAACAAATAGATAGAAACCTAAATTTAGGAAGTGTTTCTTCAAGAACCAGAGGAAAGTGAGAAAATCTATGTGCTTGTGCAAAGAGAGTGCTGAGAGAGGTTGGGGTGGGGGCAAGGGAAGGGTCTAGTGCTAATTCCTTCAGGCTGCTCTGCCATGAGTGCAGTGTGGCAATGGAAAGTTAAAATTTAAGGGCCACAAACAGGTGAAATTCTGAATTCTTTGGTCCTTCAGTATAAGTTTTAAAACAGAGAAACTGTTTTACTCAAAAGGGAAAAACACATTTTCTCTGGCCAGGAATTTTTCCTTGTACCCCAGGGAAACTGGGGGCAAACAGCTCTTTCCCCTTAACCCCCCAAGTCCTGCATCACCCCGTGACTGGAAGTCCCACAGAGACAGCCCAGGCTGCCCTCAGGGGATAAGTTCCATGTAGAGGGATTCCCTGGTGGAGTCACGGAGCTGGTGCTGGACAGATCTGGAAAAAGAGGGTGGGCAAAAGGCAGCATCACCCCTGAGCAGCCCCCAGGGAGGAGCAGAGAAACCCCCATGCTCATAAAAAGTGTTACAAACCATAGCCAAAAACGGGCTGATCAGCTCTGCTGCTTATAAATACTAAAGACCTGATTCAAGTGTTTATTTCCTATGATTTAAGTTAGTTACAAAAAAAACTTTTTAGTATTTTTTTTTCTTATTTGGGCTTTTTCCTCCTCCTCCCCCCCACTTTAATTTTTTTTTATTTTTTATTTTTCCTAAAAAAAAGAGAAATGTTCACGTATTTTAATAAAAGGTCTTTCCTTAAGATCAGACCAAGGCAGATGTGCTGCCCCATGGCACAGACATTCAAAGGCTATAACCAAACAACATAGCCACAATAGTCACTCAACAGTGTCTCTCCATTAAAAAAAATTAAAAAACCTGATGCTAGTTACAATAAAATACACATGGAAAAAAAGCATTTTTACCAAAAAACCCAAAAACAAGTTAATGGGAAAACATAAAAAAGAACTACACAGAGCTGCACTTAAGAGATCATCTGGGAATGCATATTAACCCCTTCCATGGAGAGGAAAGGTGGAATTATGGAAGCAAACCTAATTATGTGTTTGTATTAAAGATGAAGCTTTCTGAGAGGCTCTGGTAAAAATTCAGTTTTCCTACAATAGTGGGCAGCTGGAGGTTCCAGTGCTTTTCCAGGTCAGGGAGGGGCAGCACAGGACCATCCCTGTGCAAAATAAAAATGTTTAGTCAACTGAGTGGCCTTTTGGTTGAGATCCCAGCAGGTTACTGCAATCCACCTGATGTAAAAATCCAATGGACATGCTGGTAGGGAAAGTCACAGGAAAGCTCAGCCGCTGGGCAGGTCTGAGCTGGTGGCATTTCTCTGTCCTGCTGGACTATTTCTGTCACCACACATCTCCAGCACAAGGATCTCTGGAGCCAGCAATCCACAAACCCCCCTTGAGCTGCTGATACAGGCAACAAAAATGTCCTCAGCCTATCTGGAATTGGTTCATGCACTTCAGCAGTGACTACGAGTCAGGTCCCTGTGGCTAAAACAAAACTAATCTGGTCTGAAACAGTAAAAAGTCTCTGGACAGCCACCAGACAAAGGGGTGCCCGGAGAGAACTAACCTCTGCATCCAAATTTCCTTCATAAAGGGCATTGGCTCACCCAAGGGCAATACTTCTAAGGCTGCTCAGACTTGGAACATGTTGGCTGCATCAGAAGTGAACATTGCTCACTGAATTTTGGGGCTTGGCTTGCTCTAGGTCCAATATAAATATTTTTTTCCCTCTTTTCTTCTTTTCATACAAATATACAAAGAGCGTAAAAAAATTTAAAAAGTGAACTTTGCTGATTAAATGACAGACAAAGTTCCTGCACATTCAGAGATGGGCAGTGTGAGGCCCTCCAGGCAGGAGCCTGGCAGAGCTCCCATCAGGGAGGACGGCTTTAACCAAGCTGGGTCAGTGAAAGAGCAGGGGGACCGAAGGCATGAGCAAGTCATTTCAATCCACCTCGATCCTCCCTGTGATCTCAACTCTTCCTCTGGAAAGCACGTGGAAGCCCCTCTTGCCCACTCTAAGTCCTTCTGGAAATAGTCAAAAATTTGTTATCACCTAAATAGAAAAGAGGAGAAACACAGACTCTTTGCAAATGGCCCTTTGATCTGTATTAAAAACAGCTCTCAAAGTTCATCAAGAGTTAGAATTAGTGGGGCACGGGTGAGGGGCAGTTTAGATACGGGATGTAAAATATTAAAAAGTGCTCTGCAACTAATTTTCTGTTTTCATGTGTGCATGTGCGTGTGTGTGTGCACGTCCCTACACGTGCACAGCCACACCCAACCGCACACATATATACATATATATATATACACATACATATATATGTACGTATGTATAAAGTTAAAAAGTTCTATAGGATATGATCAGAAGGAGTGTCCTCGGGAGGTCACGACTGCAGGGAGTGGGGCCTGTTGGGGTGGCAGATGAGGCACTCGCCCTCCTCAGCGCACGTCTCGCACAGCACCGCGTGTTGGCACGGTAACACCACCCGGTTCTCCTCCTGACACTTAAGGCATTTCACTGACTGCATCTGAAATACCGCCTGCAAGAGAGGGGGACAGGGCACAGCGTCAGTGTCACACACACGGCAAAGGGCTCAGTGGCTTGGGGAAGGGCAGGGAGCACTTGCAGCTGTCTACCCTGTTCATGTCCTGAAGCAAAAGTAAAGCAGCACAGTG